CATTTCATTGCATGTGAAACATAACACTGATGAGAAATGTGGATGAGAAAGTGGCAAACAGGATATGACATACTGTTTTCTGAATCCACTATACACCCTCTCTCTCAACGGCATTTGTCCAGCAGTAGAGAGTGAATAAAAGAGGGGAAATTCATGCTGGGCATTTTGAGAGGTGCTTTATGATCCGTCTTCATCACATACATTCTGATCGCAGTGCGGTGCTGTGGGATGTTACTGTGCCTCTGCATATCTGAATCAAATGAATCCACGCTTCTGCATGCATTATTAAAGCTTAGCTGAGCCATGCGCTTTCACTTTATTCAGCTTCTACAAATCCAGTACTGTTATCACATCAACATAACACTCCATCATGCTTGTTACTTCTGACATGCTTAGGGTCTGGACCGCAAGCCGTACTTGTTGATTTCAGATCAGTTCTGCTTTGTCCACATGGATCAGTTTTTCAGACACAACCACAGATCTCAAGACCCAAATACAGACCAATACCAGATCCCCTAAGAACCAAACCAGTACTAGATCCCATAAGACTCAGAGCAATGCCTGACTCACCCTAAGACCCAGACACAGCCCCCTCATAAGCCAGTGCCCAATCTGTATCCAAGCTGTCCTTTTCCACACAAAAAAAACCCTGGACCAGTGGCTAAACCCTGGTTCTGAACTGGGTTTGTCCTCAAAACCTTGCAAGTCTTGAACAAGGGAACCTTTGATTTCAGTGGACAGAACTTCCATAGCTCCCAAGTCGGTGAGTGAGTTCTGCCCCCGCCCAAGCACTGGCTCCAGTTCCAGCACCAGCCCTAGCTGTAAGAGGTACAAGACTCAGACAAGATGGAGACCAATACCAGACCCTCTAAGAGCCAAATCAATAACATATCCCTTAAGAATCAGACCAATACTAGATCCCTCTAAGGTCAGATATGGACCATTTCCAGTGACCAGTTAGTGATTCTCTTAGTCCCATACCACAACATATCCAATGAGATCGAGCCCAATCCCAGTCCCTACTAAGACCCTCTTGCAAGCATACAATACAGATCCCCTAAGATCCAGACAAACTCCAGACCCCCTAAAACCCATTCCCAAACCAATACCAGAGCCTCCGAGACTCAGACAGATTCCGGAAGCTCTTACTCCCAGACAATACAGATCCCCTTAGATCCAGGTCAACTCCAGCCCCCCTAAGACCCATGCCTAAACCGATACCAAGACTCCAACCAGTACTAGACCCATCAAGGCCCAGACATAGACCAATTCCAGACCAATTAGAGACTCCTTAAGACCCAAATCAATTTACGATCTCTCAAGACCCTGATATAGACCAAATTCTAAACTCTTGAGGCCCAGAAACATAGACAACAACCTAAC